CCATCTGTCTGTGCTGCGGCCAGACTGACTGCGGCCGCCTCACAGTGCCTTTGTGCTGCCTCCAGTCACTGCCCCTCAGTCAGCGCCATCCCCTCCATCTCTGTTAAAGCAGAAGACACACACACCTCCACACAGCTACAAACACGTGGAGATGTTTCCTGGTACCACCTGAGGAGCCCATGTCCGCACACTGCCTTCACCATCCCCATCACCCCAGTCCCCAGTCCTGCCCTTACTGGTGCTCTGCAGTGAACAGCAATCCAACATACAGCGGCCCCGCGGAATCATAGAATCACTCAGGTTGGAAAAGACCTTCAAGATCATTGAGTCCAACCTCGACCTAAACACACCCTAACTCTAACGACCTTCACAGAATCACAGAATGGCCAGGGTTGGAAGGGACCTCAAGGATCACTAATCTCCAACCCCCTGTCACACGCAGGACCACCAACTTCCACATTTAATACCAGCCCAGGCTGCCCAGGGCTACATCCAGCCTGGCCTTGAACAGCTCCAGGGATGGACTGGACATCCACAGCCTCTCTGGGCAGCCCGGTCCAGCACCTCTCCACTCTCTCTGTAAAGAACTTGCCCCTGACATCCAACCTCAATCTTCCCTCCCTCAACTTCAAACCATTTCCCCTTGTCCTGCTTTATCTACCCTTTCAAAGAGTTGACTCCGCTCCTGTTTGTAAGCTCCCTTTAGGTACTGAAGGCTGCAATGAGCTCACCCTGTAGCCTTCTTTTCTCCAGGCTGAACAAGCCCAGCTCCCTCAGCCTGACTTCGTAGGGGAGCTGCTCCAGTCCCCTGATCATCTTTGTGGCTCTCCTCTGGACACTCTCCAACAGCTCTCTGTCTTTCCTGTATTGGAGGCCCCAGACCTGAACGCAGTACTCCAGATGGGGCCTCACAAGAGCAGAGTACAGGGGGACGATCAACTCCCTGTCCCTGCTGGCCACCTCTCTTTTGATGGAGCCCAGGATTCTATTTGCTTTCCCAGCTGCAGGAGCACACTGCTGGCTCATGTTAAGCTTTTCATCCATCAAGACCCCCAGGTCCCTCTCTGCAGGGCTGCTCTTAAGGACTGCTCCTTCCAGTCTGTTCCCTCCTCTAAATCACGTCCCTGAGCAGCACATACAGACAGTTTTGAAACATATCAGGGATGGTTACTCAACCACCTCCCTGGGCAGCCCATTCCAGTGCTTAACAACATTTTCTGTATAGAAGTTTGTCCCGATATCCAACCTAAACTCATCCCACGTCTGCGTGTTATGTGGAACCCCACAGATGTGGCAGTGGGGTCTTGCTTCTGGGCTGCTTCTCAAAAGAAACCAGTGCACGGTGTCGGGAGCGGAGGAGGAAGCAGCTGATCCTGCCACTCATGCTGCCATTGCGCGCCCCTCCCCAAGACTCCCACACCTTCCTCTCCCCAGCCCCGCTCGGCTCCTCGCGGGCTGCAGACGCTGCTGAGGCTCTCGCACTGCACGGCTGTCATCTTCTTCTCGTGCTGCCGGACCGCTCTCTGCAGGGCTGCGCTGAGTTCCTGCTGTTGCAGCCAGAACCGCAGCTCCCGTGCTGACGGATGGAGGAGCTTCGTGCCGGCACCCACAGCACGCGGTCCCCGGGCTGCCGGTGGCACGGCAGGATGCTCCACTCCCCACCTCCCATCGCCCCTCAGCTACGGCATCTGCCTATAATCTGCCTAAGGATACGAGGACCCTGCAGAGGGTTCTGGACCGGCCGATCGATGGCTGATGCCAACGGCACGAGGTTCAACGCCACCAAATGCCGGGTCCCGCACTTCGGTCACAACGACCGCAGGCATCGCCGCGGGCAGCCGGGCTGGGGCCACCGGAACGCGCGCGGTGATGACGCAATGACGACGCGACCGCGGGCGGAAAGGACCCCGCGCGGAGCGCCCATCCCGTTCCGCAGGACGACCAATGACAGCGCGGCGGAGGCGGGGCCGAGCGCGGGCTCTCCGCCAATGGCAACTGCGGCCGCGGGGCCGCCGCGATGGCGCCGGAGCACTAGCGGAGCCGCAGGGCTCCGTGCGGGGAAAGCAGTGCTCCGCTGCCCCGCGTCCCCGCCGCCGCCGGCCCCGTGCCTCGGGGACGCCGGGCGGTCAGGGGAAGGCGGCGCGGGGGCCCGTTCGTCCCCCGTCGGCACCGAGCCGTCCTCCGGAGTCGCCGTTCGGACGGGAGCCGGTTGGGAACGCGGTCATTTCTCTGTTTGTTGCTATGTGCGTTCATTGAATAAATGTTCAATGTTCGTTTCGTCTGCCCGCGGTCATTTCTGCAGCTCCAGTAACCCACCCCGTCCCCGTGCCAACCGCTGGGTAAGGACGGGACGGCGCAAACGGCCGTGTCGTAGGACTGCGACCGCCGGCCCCGTTTCTCCCCCCCAGATCCCCTCCCCTCTTCAGCACCGAGTGGGAAATGGCTTGGGTGGGATTCTGAGAGAGCTGGAGCGGCTCCACCTGCAGAAGAGGAGGCTCGGGGGGATCCCGGGCACGGCCATCAGTCCCTGCAGGGAAGTGCAGAGAGGTCGGAGCCAGGTTGCACCCGGCGGTGCCCAACAGCAGGACCGGAGGCTCACGCTGCAGCACAGCAGGTTTCCCCGCAGAGCTGTCACCGCCGCGCTGCTTCCCCCTGCTTGCACTAGGAGGCTGCACAGCCCGTGCAGACAGTGCACACCCAGAGGTGCCCGTCCCATGCAGCACGTCCAGCAGCTGGGGGATGTTGAGGTGGTTGCAGTGAGCCAAGAGCTGCAGCTCCTCCAGCTCAGGTTTCCTTGTATGTCACCACTGAACCCCCAGCTCGGGTCAGCGCCGTTGGATATTTTTGCCAGTGATCACGATGCAGGAGATGAGTGCATCCTTGTGAAATCCAGCGTGCGTGCTAAAGGACGAGGTGCTGCTGGCACTCCTGAGGTTTTTAAGGGGCAGCAGAGAAAACTGGAGGGCTCAGGGCAGTAACTGGGGGCTCTTGAAGGGACTTTGAGGTGCTGTTCTTTGAGGTTCAGAATTGCGGTTTTTCCTCATGTTTCACACAAAAGGTGGCAGTTTGGCTCAGTACCTCGAGGTGGCAACAGGACCCCCAACAACAGAAACATCTGCTGCCCAGAGTTCCATGTACGGCTGTGGGAAAGATGGAGGATGGAATAAACATAGAACAGGCACAGGAGATTATCACGTGAAATTCAGCATTGGCACCAAGCTTCCCCCAGAAGCTCTTTGCAGGCAGCTCAGTCATCGTGTTTTATTCTCTCCTCACCTCGGTCCCGAAGTATTTTCCTCATCTGCCAGCAGGTGTTACCTCCGACCTTGTCACTGGACAGTGCTTCAACAGCACCAAGTTGCCTCTGTGGCCCTCATTCACCTCACTGCGTTACCACTCAAGTGTTATTCTCATTAAACTACATTCTTTCTTTCCTCCTCCAAATAAAATATTTGTCAGACTAGAGAAATAGAAGGTTGAATCTGGGACACCCACAGTCTGCAAAATAGTCTGCATGAGGAAACAATGCTGAAGGCTGAGAGAGGTCTGTGCCAAGGACTGCATCTGCAAGCCACAAGAGAAGTATCACCCTGAAGCCCTTCTCCTCTGAAACAGAAGGGAACACCTTAGAAAAACAGGGCACACTTCATAAGCTCAAAATCCAACATGTCAAGCTGGCAAGAGAGGACTCTGAACTTCCATCCTTTACACTTCCCTCCACAGTGGGGTCCATCACGCAGAGCTGAGTAGGAACTTACCGGCATTGGCAGGGCCCTTGCAGCACTCCTTCTGATAGTTAGGATAAAATCATAAAGAAATCATAACAGAAGTTCTCTGTGAAAACTACATGTAACGTTGTTCCTTCTACAAGTGAACAAGCCCAATACATGCTAGTAAAAATTCCTGCATAAAAAAAAAAA